CACATTCTTTTACATTGGTGGGAACAGGATAGCTAATGATCAACATTGACAGCATATAGAGGTGGTATTTGGGGAACAAGGTCACAGTGAGGGGTTCGGGGATCTTATAAGGGGGTGCCCTGAGGGATCTGGAAAAGATTACTCTGATATTTAAAAGGTGCATCTTCTTAGATGCAAAAAGAAAACAGTTTCACTTAAGGTAAAGGTTCCTTGTCACCCTGGCCGGATGGCTCAGTTGGTTGGAGCTTTGTCCTATATACCAAAAAGGTTTTGGGTTTGATTTTTGGTCATGGAGCATATGGGAGTCAACTGATTGATGTTTCTCTCTCACATCAATGTTTCCATCTCTCCCTTCCTCTTTCTCTAAAAATCAATGAATATATTCTCAGGTGAGGATTAAAAAAAAAAAAAGATTGACCTTTGTCAAGGAAGCTATAGGCCTGGGACAGGACTACCCTCCATAACCAACTTTCAATTAGGAATTTTTATGATCAGATAGTTACTTTCGGCCTCTGAGTTTGTAATGCCACCATGCAGGCCTCCCCTGGGTTTGTAGATTTAATATGTGGCCCCTTTTTAGTCCGCATGAGGTCTGCGTTTACATGAGAGACAGGCTCATTCCCCTACGATTAGGTGACTTACAGCATCACCTCCATCACCTGTCCTTGTCTGGACTCTGCTCTTGTCCTGTTGCCTCTCCCTGGAGACCAGGCTTCATCTCCCCCCTGCACATGGAGGCTTTGAGTCTGCCATCATTTCATTTTAGTGTTTATTTGTCTCCGCTGGGAGTTTCCCGGGCATCCCAGACACCCCAGTACCCTGCTCAGGGCTGGCCCAGAGCAGGCGCTCAGTACAGCCCACTCCACTGAGCAGAAAGGCCTTCTGTGGCATTGAATATTCCATGTGCTTAATGTGAACTAATAGAGTGGATAAAGCAGTAGCCCACATCCACCGTCAGCCAATGGAGCCTTTGAACACTCTGCCCAGCACCAGGTAACTCCAGGGAAGACCTGCTTGTGTAACACTGAGTCACATGAGGCTACCCCTTCCAGAAGTAGCCAGCAGGGCCCACTTAATAGCAAGGAGCCCAGCTTTAATTAAAGAGGCAATTCAGAGTGAAGAAGCCCACAGGATGTACGTCTATTATGTGGGCTCTCAGTCACCCAGGCGCTGGGCTGGAGGAACAACTAAATCCACTTGCCCATCTTTTATGGACCCCAGGGCAGCAATTCTTGATGAAAGAAACAATTAAGTTGGAAACAGGTGTGTTGTCTGGTGATTAGTGTTGGTGCAGGAGTCCCTGGGCTCCAGGGCCGGCAGAGCTAATCCACCAGCACAAAGAGGACCCCAGACCTCCCAAAGTGGTCCCCAGGTATGTCTGGGGTCACTGTGCCTCACGCCATGGGAGGTTTTGTACCAAGGAGCTGGAGAAATGAAAAAAAAACAACAACAATAAAACAAAACAAAAAAAACTCCACAATTTTTCAAATAAGAGACCTTGGGTTTAAAGAAAAGGATGGTAGGCAAAATGCAGTGACACAGTGGCCTAGGGCTGAGGGAAACTTGGTCTCCACTGTTTTCACCTCAGGCTTTACAAGGAGGAGGAATTTCTCAGCCTGGGGCCATGGGCACAGAAAACTGCATTCCTGGGACAGGCCAGGCAGGTATGGTCCCTGGTTCTCAAACTGGGGCCCTCTGGCCCAGCCCTGTCCACAGTAGCAGGTGGTCGGCCTTCACAGGGAGCAGTTTTAAAGAGGGAATGCACTGCTGTCATGTAAGCATGGAACATTGTCATGTCAAAGTCAAGATGCAGGTTTCTCATGAAAAATCAGAAGAACAAGCATCTGGGCCTTAACATTCAACAACTAGCTGACAGTGTAAGATTCCTTTTGAAAGGTATTCTCTCTCTCTCTCTCTCTCTCTCTCTCTCTCTCTCTCCCCTCTTTCTCTCTCCCCCCCTCTCTCTTCCCCCCACCTCTCTCTCTCTCTCCTTTCTGTGTATATTTTTCTCACTCTTCCCAAGGCCCCCAGCCATCATCCTTCACTTCTGTCAGAAGCTTGGCTCCTGAAGGATTGGACAAACGTCCTTGTTAGAACTCATCCCTCCTCAGCACGTGCCCAGACCCGAGCAGGCCCTTCTCAGCACACGGGCACATGGGGAGCAGAGGAAAGCTACCAGAGCCAAACCCCATGACTGAAGAAGCCCCCAGATACCACCTCCATGTGCTGTAAATGTTGATCATTAACTATTTGCCCCAAAGTATGTCAAAGTCAATGACAGGAACTTGGAATTGTGACCCAGGCATTCGGGAATGCTGACTCCCCTCTATGAAATGAGGAGGTGACTCCTTATTCATGTCAGAATGTTCAAGCTTCAAAAGTGAGAGTCTCCAGTGAGCTCCAAGGGCTTTTGCTTCCTCAGGAACCCGAAACCTTGTATTCTGTAATCACATGAGGAGCCACAAGTATTACTCCAGCAGCATCCTCTACCCCGACGGCTTCCTGGGCTACCCGTGTGCCTCCTACGAGGAGTTTCAGGAGGTGGGTCTCCCCAGGGGCCTGGGGAGGGTGGGGTGGCTCTGTGGTTGTTGGTTTTGTCCCTGTGGCTTGGAACAGAGCAGAGATGTAACTCCACGACTAGTAAGAGGAGGTGCTGGTAATGCTGAGCCTCGCAGAGCCTTCTTCCTCCGGGGTGCGGGGTGGGCAGGCGGCAGATGGCACAGACCTGACCTGGTGGGGAGGCCTTCCCTAGATCCCCAACTTTTCATTCTGAAAAATTCTCAAAGGATGCCTGAACGGCATGGGTGAGATAGATGCATTAATGAATGGATGGAGAGTAGATGGATAGATGAATAGAGAGATGATTAGATGGATGAGTGGATGATTGAAGGAGGGAGGGAGGGATGGATGGGAAGATGAATTGATCAATTGAGTGAGTGAATGAGTGAAAGGCCTACCACTCACAGACAAATTTTTGTTTTTCCACCAGAATGGCTGTTTTCCTTGTCCAGTCACAGGATGCCCCAAAATGGGGCACTATGCTGACCAATTTCAGGGCAACACCAGCGCCGTGGGACAAACGTTTTTCCTGAACACAGGAGAGAGTGGTAACTTTACTAGTAAGTTTCAATTGTACCCATTTAAAAGCTGCAAATGATTTTAAAAGTTGTGTCAACCTTGTTAGTTAGGACCCTTGGTAGCAATGGATAGAAACTCAACACCAGCCAGCTTAAATGATAATGGAAGGACGGTAGAATG